ATTGAGCGCCTACTATGTGACAGGCCTTTTACATATATGACATTCCCACTGGGCCCTCACAACGGCCCAGAGAGCCTGTTCTTTGCAGATGTGACTGACTTGGTGGCAGTTCAACCCCAGGCTGCGGGCCTAGTGGCCTTTCCCTGGCATGGCACAATCATGGAAGCAGCAGCTGCGGGGAGGGCGAGGAGCGGTGCAGTTCCCGCCGCGCCCGCCCACGGGGAAGGCAGCCGGGGAGGGGGGACTCGAGGGCCCGAGCCATGCGGGGAGCAACAGCTGTCGGTGTCGCGCCCGGGGACCTCGCCTCCGTAGGGCCGACCCAGCGCCGGGGCCGGGAGGAGGGGCGGCGAGGGGCGGGGCGCGTGGGGCGGGACGGAGGAGGGGCGGTGGCACCGGCGGCTCGGGCTCGGCGCGCCGAGGAAGTCCCGCTCCGAGAGCTGCGAGCGTCTGGAGGAGGCGCGCTCGGCGCAGTCGGGGAGCGAAGTCCGGAGCAAGGGGCCCCCGCGCCGCCGCCGCCCGCTCCTGCCACCGTCCAGTCAGGGCGCCTGCGGCGGCCGCCGATGGAGTTCACTTGAGCTGTGAACCGGCGGGAGAGGCAGGAGCCCGCGAGCCGAACGCGGGCCGGAGCCCAGCCAACCCCGGGCGCTCGCCTGCCAGCCCGCAAGCTCCGGCCAGAGGCGCCGCCATCCCGCGCCCCAGCTGCAGCGCCTCCCGGGCCGCGAGCCGGCGAGATCCGCACAAAATCTAAACTCCCGAAACGGCTCCCCCCAGCGCCGCGGAGGCAGCGGGCTCAGGACCGAGCAGCTCGCGGCGCGGCTGGAGAGGCGGGACCGGCTGTTGGGGAGCCCCGGGCGGCTGCCGGGGAGAAGCCGCCGCGCGCCCTCCTCCTCCTCCCTCTCCCTCCTCCCTCCCTCCGCACATGGTCTCCTTTGTCCTGTCGCCGCCGCCGCCTCGCTCTTAGCTCCGCGCGCCACGGCGGCGGCTTGGGCCGCTCCTCTCTGCCTCGCCTTCCCGCCCGCCGGCCCCGGACGTGCCTCGCGAGCCCCCGCCGCGCCCGCCCGGCCCCGCGCGCCGCAGGAGCGGCCGGGAGACAGCGGCAAGCGCGGGCCGGGCGATCTCCGCGGGCGAGCTCCTCCCGCCGCTCCGGGCCTCGGCCGCGCTGGATGTGCGCGCGCGGCGCAGGTTCTCCGCCGCCCTGAAGCTGCCGCCCCGTTCGGATCTGGTTCGGCGCCTCCGCTCTCGGACTTCGGCGAGGAAGCAGCCCAGAGACTCTTGTGCACGGAGCCGGGTCGGGAGTTGGGCGTTTTCTCTTCGTGTGTCTTGGTGGTTTCCCCCTGGTCTCTGACGACCGCCCTTCAGGAGCCCTGTTAAGGAATCAAACCATGAACTTGGGGCTGACCGGACAGCTTGACCCTTTGCGACCAGGTAATGCAGCCCCCGGGGCGCGGCTCGCTCACCCGCCACCTGCGGTCGGAAGGGAGGCGGCCGGGTCGGGGGTCTTTTGTTGCGGCGGCCGAGCCGGGTGGCAGGGGCGGGCTCCTCGCGTCCGGCGCGCCCAAGCCCCCCTTCGCCACCCCTCCTCCCTGCTTTTCTCCCCGCTCTGCGGCCCTGTCGCCCGCCTTTGTACTTTCCTGCCTCGGCCGGCCGGGCTCGACTGCGGAGCGGCTGAGCGGGGCCCGGAGCTGTGCGGTCAGCCCGGGAGGGCCTGGCGTTCGCCACCGAGTTCTGATGCGGGGAGGGGGCCGGGGCCTGCGTCCGCTGGAGCTGGGGGCCCTGGCGCTGCGCGACGCTGCCGGCTCTTGGGGTCACGCTTCCCCCGCGCCGAGGTCGGAACCCCGCCTGCACGGGTTGCCAGGGAATCGAAAGGAGATCTGGGTTCGAGTTCGGCAGCGGGTGAAAGAACTCGTGCTTAAGTTTGCAGGAGGTTTCTCTTTTCCTTTTCGAAAGCCTCCCTTCCCTTCCCGCCTGTGCGGGTGCGGAGGGCGGCCCCCGGGGTCTGCGTCCGAAGGGAGTGAGGGTGGACCCGCTGGGTCCCACCCTGTCTGCAAGCACGGCTTTGATAAGTTTTTCTCATTCTCTGCGTTCCCGCCTCCTTTCTGTTTCTCTTATTTAACTTTTCTTTAAACGCCAGCTACGGCTTCTAGCAGTATTTTTTTACATCCAAAACAAAACAAAACAAAACAAAAAACCTTCTTCCCTTCCCCCTTAAATAAAAAGCAGCCAAACGAGAGCTTTGGTTTTCTGTCAGTTTTAGATTCAACCACTTCATGCCCCTACCCTCCAAAAGCGAGCCGAGAGGATGAAAGGAAGTGAGTAAAATCTTCAAGTATGTAGCTGGTAGAGGTGCCCCGTGTTTAAAAAAAAAAAAAAAAAAAAGGAAGAGCTCCACTCGCCGGCTCACTCTGGGCTCACCGGTTTTCCATTAGATTAAGAGGGGGGGAAGCCAGGAAAATGATCCAGGTAATAGAAGGAAATGCAGACTTTTTTCTGAAAGCAACGAAAATGGTAAACATTCCCAAGATCAAGACCCAAGGAACCAAATCATTTGTACAAATGTTCTAAAAGCCTAAGTAGAAGGAAAGTTCATCGAGGAAAAGCAAAGGGTACTCGTGTCGTTTCCCCTTAAGATTTTAGGGAAGAAGCCTGACTTGTTAGGACTGTGGTCGGCCACAATTGTAACCACCTGGATGGGAGAGGGGAAGGATCCAGAATGCTTGCAGTCGTCATCTTATGGGTGTTTTTCTGTGGAGGCCTTTCTGAGACACCCATTTCTCAGTCGCAAGAGGCATGGTGTCCAGCCTTACTACTTGTATCAGTCAAGTTAAGGGTTCAGAAAGCTTTCAATCGAAGATACACTCCAAAGCCTCCCTGAATATCCGGTCAGACTTACTTTCTTAATAACTTGCTGGTCGGCATCATAGTAACGACATCTTCAAGTTTGGTTCAGACATGAGGATCACGCAAGTGTCTGTTTGAGAATCCCATGTGGAGCTCAGTGGAGCTGACAAAGGTGGCAGAGCAAAAGGCCTGTTTACCCGCAGCTTCTGTCCTTTTCCCTGGAACACGCATACACACATACACCAAGTGCAAATAAAAACGCGGTCAGGAACTGTTTATGCTTTTTTTTGTTTGTTTTGTTTTAATTTTTAAACAATAAAAAATTTCAACAAGATCTTCAAGGTATGTTTATGCTTTTTGCATTTGGAGACAGCAATTTGTTTTTATATTTCTTGGGCCCAGTTAAGACTCACCTTAATAGGCGATCCCAGAATTTTCAAAGGTTATGTCAGTTTGGTAAAACACTTGAATAAACAGACTTTCTTTTTTCCTTATATCAGTTCATTAATTTTGTAAGCCGTGAATTTCACATGAATTTACCTTCCAAAAGAATTCTAAGCCATTCTAAGAGACACTTTTTCATGAACGGACGGTGAAATACACATATCTCTTAAGTTTTTAGCTGGGAAACTGACATTCCTAGAAATCTCACATAATATTTCAATATAACATCATGGAATTTTTGACTTTATAACCAGTATTGTTGATCTATGTATAACTTGTTTCTCCCATGTTAACATTTTTTTGGCAGCTTGTTTTTATGGAAAGATACTGTCAGAAAGGCCCTCTGTATTTTTCATTATTCCTGCAAAATAGGAGGAGAAAACCTATCTAGGGCTTATGTTAAGCTGCAGGTATAAATGTCTGCACTTCAGTATTTGTTTTGCACATACCTTCATTGGTTTCTTGATTGGTTAATCATATGAAGACCCCCATAAATGAAATGTTAGAATTAAATAAAGCAAAAAACAGTCATAATAAAAATATTTTATGTCTTTCTATATCACTTGCATCGAGAACTAGAACACGTCCCCCAGATGTACACAGGAATATTTCATCTTTGTCAGTATGACATGGAAAGACTAAATTGAATATCCTCTTTGTCCGTAAAACCCAGCCCAGAGTCAAAATATGCTGCACTTCAGAATTCACCCTCCCCCGATTTCCTATATTTTCCTTTTTTCATACTCACTCCACATTCTAGGCTGTGCTTTCTCAGAATATGCATCTCTGTATATCAAGTGTGAAAGAGAAGTGATTTCTCACAAGGGTTGTGTAGCAGAAACAGTGTCAATATAGCTTGCCCATTGTAACTTTAAATGCACACATAGCCTCACATTAAGTAGTGGAGATTTTTAATTTTTAATTTTTCCAGTTCTAGAAATATTCAGTGCTTCTGAAACGTTACAGCATTTTCCTTCAAACCAACTTCATGTTCCTTTTCCAGAACGTTAGTGTATAATTTAAATTGGCTTTAGTTTTACTGTTTAAACAGGCTTATTTCACCTTCCTCAAGCCACTGTAATAATTAGCAGACATGCTCTCTAGAAAATGAAAAGGAAATAATGCTGGTGGCATGCATAGTGGTCAGATTTTTGGGCAGGTTGGCTTGCGTCTTTTTGAACAGCAAGGTCGTCTGGTTACTGCAAGGGACAGGGATCTTGGAGTCATCAGATGAATCTTTAAAAGAAATTAATTTCTGAGAGTGTTGGCTGACACTTTTTAGTGAGGAAAAACTTAGTATTAAATAACAGGCATTTCTGATTTGTGAAAGAAAATTGAAAAATAGGCATGTCTGCAAATACCACACAAAAAAATACCGTTTCCAAAATAATGATCTGTCAACGAAATTGCAAAATCATTATGTGAGTGAGCCGAATTGCTTTGTGTATCATCTCATGGAAATATGTTTTGCACAGATAATGTGTCTAATAAGGACACATTTTTAAAATCAGATTTTTTTTTCCCCCAGCAAATAGCTGCACTGCAGGTCTCTCTCAAGCAGTCAACTAGCACCACCTTATGGATGATTTGGGGACATTGCTGCTTCCCTGCTAGGCTTTTGTAAAATGTAGTAAACTGAATTAAAATAATGGGATTGTCGATGGTGATGACAATATTAATGACAATAATAACGCTTTTCCCCCCTTCTTGTTTTTTAGGCATCAGATGCCAGCTCTGAAAAACTCTTCAACGCTGTTATTGTAAACAAAGGTAAGGGCCATTCGTTCTTCTGAGTAATGGCTTATTTTTACGTTCGTTTCATTGTCATTGCCTGAAGAAAGAAGAAGAGCCAGTGTGATCTTTCTCTCTTAATTCTGGAGCTACTGTTGATGTTTCGTGTTTTTGCTTGAGACAGAAGTCTGCATACTTTGCGATGCATTAACAGCTAGTTTATTTTAAAAGAATACATTGAGTCTCCATTTAAATTGATTTGACTAATCACTACTGTTATGTGACGTTAATATCGAAAGCTGTACTGGAGAAGAATCTTTATTGTTACTTATCAACTACCCAGCAGTAGGAGAAATATAAATAGCTGACGTGTGTTGCAGACTCTAGTAATCAGTGGATGTTTAGTATTCACAGTATTATGGTCATAAACGAAGCCATACTCTGCTGTGGGCTTTCTGTAAAGTTAATAAATGAGCAAGAGGGCAGAATTTAAATATGCACTGTCCCATTAATTTCTTCCAAACCACAATCTAGAGTAAGAGGCTAATGATATAACAGTACATTAAGGGAAAACTAACCTTAAATCATTGCCAAAAGGTTCCCACGCAGTTTCATTTGTAACAGTATTGTTGGAAATAATGAAATTTAGAGAAATCTCTAATCACTGGCCCTGAAAGGTATATAATTTGAAAGGCACAAACCATAAAAACTATTTAATCTTCCCCTTTCCACTATCGAGCCTGATTTAGGGTCTGGCGTGATAATTGCTAAATAAAGATGTGCTTTCCGTGATAATCTCTATGTTACGTGGACAACACCTGGTAGCACTTCAACAGACTTGGGTCTTCACAAAGTGGAATTTGAGACCATTTCAGCCTTCTGTAGTTGCCTTGGCTAGCATTTTTGCTAGCTGGTTAGTAAGACGTTTCCAAGTGCAGTTATTTTGAGCTCCCAGATTATTTTAGAATTTGAACCAATTGCAGTTTTAAATAGTACATTATGTTTACAGTTCCCTTGAGGTGTGTGTGATTGCTGTTACTCCCAGAATTACTGTCATATTGAATTTTATCTTTCTTTATTGCATAACGGAGTATTCCGGTTTTATATTTCATCATATCTTTTGATGGACTGAAAGTTTGTATAAATGTGTTACCCATAATGCTAAAAGCCCAATAAAAGGAGATGTGTGCCATTTATGGCATACAGTGCTTGTGAGTAAAAATGCACAATTGTCTACCACTTGGTGAGAAAGGAGGGTGACGGGACAGGGAGACTGAGGTAGAGGGCAAGTCACCAAAGGCAGGGCTTCTTTGTTTCTGCGCCCCTCCCCAGGACCTCTGCCACACGTGACTGCATCTGCCTTCTGCTGACTGGCCACTAAACGCCTTGGAATGCATTTCCCCTTCTGGGTTCAGGCCCCAGAATAAGAGCTGGCTGCGGGACCATGCTCCGGCCACCACTGCCCCAGACTCTCCAGAGCAGATGCACAGCTCCCCTCTCCTCTTCCCTCCGGTCCTTTCCCCCCTTTCTTTCCTTTTCCAATCAAACGTTTCCCACATTCTTATTTTTGTTTACTTACAGAGTGTGATTTGTGGCATCTATTTGGTTGTGAATAGTCCTCCCCCTGACAGGGTGCCTTTCTTCTGAGCTGCTTTTCTGGGGGTGATTTAGTTGCCTTGAAAGGATTAAGGTTTCTTTGTGTACACTAAAATCAACATAGGCTTTTTCTAAGCTTTGCTTGGGAAACCATACACAAATAAGCATTTTAGTTGATGGCAGATTATTCCTTTGCCCCTTATTTCCATCAAAATGGCCTTTCTTTTCTCCTCCAGAGTTTCCCCTTAATGCCTTATGCTAATTCCTCTTGGTAGCATGAATGACAAGAGACGGAATCAGTGCGAATCCAGGTGGTGCAAAGTAGACTGACTGGTATCTAGCACCCCCTTCCTCCCTGGGGAGAAAGATTAAGGGGGGTGCGGAGGGGGAAAGCATTGGGGACAGTTTTGTTAAGGGGATTAGTATTCAAACTGCTAAATATCAGGAAAACAACTTCAAAAAGGGATTCATTGTGTAGCGATAATGTCAATAATTGCTTCAGGACAGGTGCAGAGTCTCGTTATAGGCTTGTGGTTTTGGGTCTGTTTTTACTCCGGGTAGTGGCTGTGTTTACAGGATGGATGGTTGACAAGGCCTTCAAGGAACTGTCAGATTCATGCACATCAAGTTCAAGTTTTTCTACAAGGTGGCCGGCCTGCCTGAAAGTCAGGTCTCCTCTCTGTCTGAGTATCTTTAGCCAAGAGCAATAAAAAGCATCGTAAGAAAGGGCAAATTTATACCAGGTAACAAACAACTGGGGAAATCGTCAAAGCCCCAGCTTATGGAGTGCAGCGGAGCTGACACGTGTATCCCTCCACCTCCAGATGTTTAAAGTTACACATCACCTCTCCCTCTCAAGGGACTGGCAGTATTCTGGCCTTAGAGGAGTGTGGCTTTAAGCTGCTGGTGAGATTATGCTGCTGAGCCTGGTGGCAGGCAGATTTGGTCCATAAAATTTCACCGTGGGAGGGCAGTGCTAATCTCACAAGCTGATTGTGGTGAGGGCTTGGGGGGTGCAGCTGTGATGGGGGGCTGCACGGTGTGGAGATGAAGCTCCAGGCAGAGGCAGCAGGGACCGTGGCTCAAGGCCCTTCAGTCAGCTCGTGAGCTTGAATAAGTCATTTCCCCTCCTTAGGTCTGGATTTGCAATTATAACAAAACCTATTCCAGGGCCAACATCTCTGGTGGGGATAAAACCACTAATTGGGAAGGGGCAGGGGTTGAAACAGAGTGGTATAACGAGTATCTTTTGTGTCACTTTTGTCGATTGATTTTATTTCAACTTTTCCCTGTGTTGTAGAGGCCATCCAATTTAATATAGGCTAGTAAGATTTTTGTGTTTAGGTGTTCCAAATGGTCGCTTTCTTCTGATGCCTTTTATTTCCTGCTTTAAAACAAGTTAATAAGACAGCACGTGCTTGCATGTACACACAACATGCCCAATGAGAACTGAGCATTTCGAAAGGGGTGTGGCATGGAGCAGGGCTTAGCGTTGTAGACACAAAAAACAGTTTAACTTTAATCAAGGTCATGGTTGCCGTATTTAATCTTTATGTGTGTTTAAATGTTTACAGGATGTTCCTGTGAATTTTATGAATCCTTCTGTCTTTGTGACTCAACCATCTGCCAAAGAAAAAATTAATTTTCCCAGTGAGACAGAGACACAGAGAGAGACTAACTTAGCGTCCCTATTTAGTTGGTTGAAACGCTATGGGAGCAACAGGACTTGTACCCCAAATTCTGGGGTATTTATTCCAAAGAAGAACTTCTCACTGTATTCACATGGCCAGTATTTATTATCCTTTCTTACCTACTCTAGAACCTCGGTGGTGTCACCAGTTTGGTCTGTAGACAAAAGTGTAGAAGATGAGTTCTTCTTTGCTGCACACACTTATCCTGCCAAGATAATGAATCTTTCCTGAAACTCTTGGATTGCTCCAGAGCAGAACCGCTTGAAGAGAAAAGAAAAGAAGGGAAGCCTGTCTGGGAGGAAGGAGAACAGTAGGCAGGCGTCAGGAGTTTTGCAGAGCCCTCTGTTTATAGGATGTCAGTCTTGGTGTGGGGCTGTGGTTCTAGGTTAGGGGAAGAGAAAAACCTCTGAATTGCTGCCACTTCTTGGTTCAGAGTCCTCCTTCTCAGGAGTTAGCCTGCAACCAAGACAAGTCATAGATAGACAGTGAGAGGGGCCCATTGGCGTATTTCATCCCGTGACCTTCTCACCCCTTCACTTTCCTTCAGCTGTATCTCACAGGGCAGAACTGGGCCCTCCTGGGGAAGAGCCGCCTCAGTGAGCCATCAGGGAGCTGTGTCCAGCTAAATGGGCATTTCTGAATGGCTTCGGGGTGGGTTTCATCCAGAGGGGAATGAAGCCTGTCATTCTGCTTCTTTATACTGTGAGCACCCAGTGTCTACTGAAATGTGAACAGCAACAGAGCAGCTGCTCACCCTCATAGGCAGGACCCCACTTCACCTCCGTCAGCTGGGAGATTCTAGTGGACACTCACCAAGAAGAGCACTGGATGCAATGCTCCGGCCACTTAGAGCCCTCTGACTGGGACTGCTTTTCCTCTCCCGAGCCCCACCAGGCCTCTTAGTGGAACCCACTCGGCCTCTTCTTGGGGTTGGTTTTGCACCGAAAATTTCTAGTGGGACACAGATGAGGTTGGAGCCTTTAGGTGAGTGGAGCCTTTGGATATTTTTGGCAGTGTGGTTCTGTCGGCATTGTAGAAAGAAGACCTAGCTTAAAAATTGCCTGAAATCTGAGGAGATGAGCTAAGAAACAAGTTACCCAGAGATACTGCTGGCTTAGTAACCAGGTACCTAGTAAATTCTTCAGTGGTGACCATATGGCGTTATTCTTTAGGTTTAGACACAAGGCATTTCCTTGGTTCGGTGATAGAAAGGTAAGAGTTATATTACCATCAAGGTCATCATTGACTTTTAAGAAAAACCCATTACCACCAAGCATGGTCACTCACACCTTTAATCCCAGAACTTGTAGGAGGCTGAGGCAGGAGGATTGCTTGAGCTCAGGAGTTCAAGACCAGCCTGGACAATATAACAAGACCTCTCTTCTAAAATTCCAAACAACTAGCTGGAGGTGGTAGCCTGTGTTTGTTGCCTCAGCTACTTGGGAGGGTGAGGTGGGAGGATCACTTGAACTCTGGAGGTCGAGGCTGCAGTGAGCCCTGATTGTGCCACTACAGCCTGGGCAACAGAGTGAGACACCATCTCAAAAAGAAAAGAAAAGAAAGCCCCTTCCATAAAATAATTCTGTGCATGAAAATAATGCAGTTGACTGTGGAATAGCTTTCTGAAGAAAAAAATTTGGTTTAGAGTTTAAAATCCCTTTATAATGAACATATGGAGACCATTTTACAGTTCATTGTAGGGACCTGGGCTTAGTCGTAGGGAGGACATGATGGAAAGTGCATTCCCGACGG